CCTTTGGATGCGGCCCGGAAGATAGCAGATGCGGGAACCCTGAGAGTGGGATGGTCGACTGCAAGGGCTGAACTGCTTAGGAAAAGACCCTTGCAATGTTACAGGTGCCTCGGAATTGGACATGTTCGCTGGAAGTGCCCCAGCGAGCACGACAGGACTGGTCACTGCTTTAACTGCGGTGGAGAGGATCATATGGCTAGAGATTGTGAAAGACCGGCGAGCTGCCCGGTTTGCAAAGAGCGAGGGTTGCCGCACAATCATAGAGCGGGGTCGGAAGTTTGTCCCCCCTACTCTCTCAGAAGAACCCCCTCTGCAAGGGCGCAGAGGACAGACAACATGGCCGATCGGAGTATAGTGGCCGGACCATCCGAAAATGGATAGCTGCATAGTACAGATCAACCTGAACCGATCTCGGGGGGCTCAGGATTTGCTGATGCGGACGATGCAGGAGCACGAGTGTGATTTAGCGTGTGTATCTGAGCCGTACCGGGTCCCTAAGGACCCAAGATGGATCGGGTCACTCGAGGCCACCCCAATGGCTGCGGTGATGTGGCAGGGTTCCCGGTCTTCCAGACCAGCGGTACTGATCAATAGAGGAGAAGGTTTTGTCGTAGGGTGGAACGAACTGGCGGTGGTGTCGTGCTACTTCTCGCCGAATAGGAGCGTGAACCAGTTCCGAGCCTTCCTGGCGGCAATTGGGGATGCAACTAGTACACTAAGAGGACGACCGATCCTGATCATGGGGGATTTTAATGCCCATTCCCATCTTTGGGAAAATACCCACCCCATTTTAAAAGGGGACGCGATGGCGACCTGGGCTGCCGTGCAGGATTTTAGGCTTCTGAACAGGTATAATGTGGCCACCTGTGTGAGGCCTCAGGGGAAGTCGGTCATTGACCTAACCTGGGTATCGCCGGCGCTGTTGCCGTTTGTTAGGGCATGGGACGTGGCTGTCGAGGAAGAGGCGCTGTCGGACCACCGGTACGTCTTTCTGAGGCTGGGTAAAAGGGGTGGAGTTGAGCGGGGAACCCCCCCCCCCATAGAGGCTTCCCTTGTTGGAATCCCCGCAGCCTGAATGCGGATCTGCTTCGGGCCTGTGTAGCTGTAAGACTGTGGCCGGGCAACATAACCACGAGGGACATGTCGGCTAGCCAGCTAGCAGAGTTCATCCAGCGTATTCTGATGGAGGCTTCGGATGTGGCAATGCAACGGAAGGGTTCCACGCGGAGAAGACCGGTCTACTGGTGAAACAACGACATTGCGGCCCTTCGTGATAAATGTACTGCATGTCGAAGAAAAGTGACCAGAGGGCGTAGGAAGCGAGGTGCGGCGGTCCCAGCACTGGAGGCTGAACTGGCTTTGGCCAGGAAAACGCTCAGGCAAGCCATCAAAGAGGCCAAGAATAGGGCATGGCTGGAGCTACTGGGTGATATTGATAGAGATCCCTGGGGCCGCCCCTATAAGGTTGTGCTGGGCAAGCTCAGGCCCCCGGATAAACCGGTTTGTGAGATGTTATCACCGGAA